ATGACTGAGTTTAARGCTTGTGTGAAATCCGGAGTGTCCCTCCCACTGGCAGCTCCGTGGCTGCTTAAATTGCTACCCACACAGTGTGAATACCAGGATCTCCTTTCACGGCCTCCTTTAATTTGTAGCCATGTGGGACCATCAAAGGTCCATCCACAGAAGGCTCAGGAGTGGAAGGGCGAGACAAGTGCCTTGGTGTGATGAGACGCTCCACGCTCCCTCACTAGCTCTGAAATCCAAAGAAGTGTGTGGTAGTAGGTGATGACGGCTCTGGTCGTCCCTTTGGTTACAGATGCAGATACAGATGATGATAATGCAGATTCTCAGATAGAAGCCAGATTAGAGTCTCCAGGGAATCGTAGAGGTGGGGCGTGATTACTTGCCTTCTGTTTTGGTTTACTTGAAAGCAGCAGCATTTACTTGTGCCTATCTCGCTCATGGAAAATCTAAGTTAATGCTTTCTCCTTAGGTCCTCAGTCCCCCAAAGGAAAATCCTTTCAGGAGTCTTTGGAAATCCTAAAGGAAATCCTGAAGGACCTGAAGACAACAGCTGCTGGGTAGATTTCACCTCATGTTAAGATTTAACCATTGTAAACCTGAGTTTTCAGAAACAACTTAGGCAGGAGAAAGGAATCAACTGGAGCTGTGTCCCCGTGATGCATCACTTCACACCTTGCGTGCACTGGCATGCTGCAGAGCTTGTTCAGAGTGCCTTCCACAASAGTGTTCTTTACCACGTTTGGTGATGTTAAGGCTAGCTGGGGCATGGGAAGAATTCTGAAACAAGCTGTGAAACAAGGATTCTGAAAGAGCCATCTTTCTGAAGATGGCTTTTGTCTCTGGTGTGTGGAGATGATTGCAGTTAGTATCTGGGGAACCCTCCTGTGTGAGTTGTGACTACGACTTTACTGTGAGGGCTGCCAAAGGCCAGGCACGCTGTTCTGCAGCCATGCCTATCTAGACCTACCCAGGGCATGACAACATCCCTTGCAATGCCCTGCAGTGCCTTTTGAAACACAGGTATTGCAGCTTTCCTCCCCTGTGTGTAGTTACAGATGTCCCTGGGGGCACTGCTGCTCCAGGTTCTCAGGGGCTGGAGCCTTTGCCTGAGCCTCAGGAAGATCTCAGGGGTAAGTAGTCTGTCTTCCTTGATGGTTTTTTTTTTTTTTTTTTTTTTTCCTGTTTCCTTGTGCTCTTGGTGAGCCCAAGGTCCCCAGCACACATGCCCCACTGAAGCACAGAGGCACAGTTAGGGCTAGTGATGGTTCAGGCTTTCATGGGCCAGTGGACTCTTGTGCATGAGAAGTGTAAATGAAGTTCATGGTCTGGTGGTGGCAAGACACCAAAACTTGAGACAGTAAGCACAGTGTCCTTTTATTTTTTATCTTTTAGCAACCAAGCCTTTGGAGTGACAGTGCGGTGCAGTGAGTGGTATTATGGGTTGCCTGGTGTGCTGTTGAGAGCGCTCTCTCGAGAGGGTTGCTGTAAGCTTTCCTAGGCAGACTCTTCCTTGGTAGCAGTGAGGACTCTGTCCTGAAAGCCATTCTTGTTGTTGCAGTAAAGTGTTGTCAGCTAATCCTGTTGCTGCCTGCAGTGAAGAGCAGCCCAAAAGAGAGGGAGGCAGTGCAAAAGCAGGAGGTGAAAGGAAAAAGGATGAGCTTGTTCTGGAAAATGAAAACATCAGCAACAGCTCCAGTCGCCTTCCAGTCTCTCCTTCAGTCTCTCCTGAAGTCAATAAACGTTAGGTTGGACTAAACTGGTGCAAGTCCTTAGCAGTTTTGAATCCATTGTGTCTGGGTACATGTTTAGGTTTAAAGCAGGGGTAAATTTGGTAAGTGATGAATCCCCTTGCATTCCAGGCAATCCTCAGGAGTTAGAGGGCCTGGGGCTGACTAGACTCATCTCTTAATAGGGACACCAAATACTGTGATAGCTACAGGCCTGACTCAGGCAGCCCTGGATTCACAAGCAGTCTGCTGACTGTAGGTCCAATCACATTCAAAACAATTAGCTGAGTTTGCAAGTAGTATGATTTACTCAAATGCAACCTTTACAAACAGATTTTGGATGTCAGTATGGACAATTCTGTACTGCAGTGCGGAGTTCTTGCTAGCTGTAACATACAGCTCATATTCATGGGTGTGCTTCCTCCTCTGTTAAGGAGGAGAACTTCAGGAGGGTCCAGCCTTCCTGAATCCCTTTGCTCTTTGAAACTGTGTCCCAAGAGACTCTCCCAACCAATGTACTTAAACAGTCCAAAGTCCGTCCTCTGGAAGTCTAATGTAGCAGTTTTCCTGATGTCCCTCCTGACATCCTCCTGACATCCCCTCCTCCTGACATCCCCTACACTGAGAATTGAAAACACTATAATTTCATGATCACTGTGCCCAAGATGACCTCTGACCACCACATCTCCCACCAGTCCTTCTGCTAGCAAAGTGCAGCTCCAGTGGGACTCCTCCCCTGGTAGGCTCACTTACCAGCTGCAATAGGAAGTTGTCTTCCACACAATCCATAAACCTCCATAAAATTTGAAGCACTCCCTAATGTACAGTGTGATTCCACCTCCTTCCTTCCTTGCTGGTCCCTTCTGAAGAGCCTGTAGCCGTCCCTTTCAGCACTCCTGTCATGACAGTAGTCCCACCATGTTTCAGGAATGACAACTATGGCACAGCTCTCCTGACATGTCACGGCCTCTGGCTCCTCCTGCTTGTTGCCCATGCTGCAAGCACTGGTGCAGATGCTCTTTGGCTGGGTTAATGAGCTCTCCTCCAACCCTGGCATGCTGCCCTAGGCTCATCACGACCCCAGTCTTAGACGCTTCCTCCTCCACCCCTAGTTTAGGGTTTAAAGCCCTCCCAATGAGCCCTGCCAACTCCTGGGCAAGGATTCTTTTCCCCTTGAAAGACAAGTGAGCCCTCTCTGTCACCAGGAGTCCTGGTGCCTTTATGGCACCATAATGACTGCCTCATGGTGAAAAACCCCAAACCCAACCACCAACACCAGCGTCTTCACCATGTTTTGAGCAGGTCGATTTTCCTTTTCCTTTCAGCATCCCTCCCCAACACTGAGGGGACAGAGGAGAGCACCATGGGCGCATGGTGGAGTAATTGATTTAAAAAACATCTACCTTAGTATCATCCATATCAATGTCACATCTTCTGGACTGGATCAGAAGAGCTAAACTTACTGATGGTAATTGAATAGATTTTTTCCGTGCACATATGCACATTCTAGAGGCTTTCCTGAAGCCAGCAGTGTCTGAGTCAGTATCTAAAAAACCTCAGGAAGTGGTTACTTTTTTTTTTTATTTTTTTTTTTTAAGCAAGGGGGGATTTGTCTTGCATAATTTAGTCATATAYTTTAACCACAGTATCCTGCTTCAAGTGGGCAGCATCTTGCAGCTTGTGAGAGAGAAGTCAGTGGGGAATGAATATGTTAGGGTTTTTTTGACTGCCAGACAAAATGTTATGTTATCAGCCTGTGAAACTATGCCACAGTATTTCCTGTTGGCCTCTTCCCGGTATCAGGGAGTAGAAAATAAACACCCTGTCCTCTCATCTTCWGAGGTGTTTGCTTTCATTCCTCATGCTCCTATCAACCCATCTCAACTGATTTTCTATGGATGCATCTCTGTTTCTGCTACAACCCCCAATTTGAACTTGTGCAACATGCAAAGGGCACAGTTTGTTAAAACTTGTTTGAACTCAATGGAGTCAGAATTTTTAGCCTTTCTGAAGTCTCTTAAAAGTGACAATCTGGTCTTTTCTTTCCCTGTGGAAAGCACAGTGAGAAAAATAAATAAACAAAATAAAAGCATGTGCTCWCACACACACAYGGCAAAATCTAGGCTGTAAGAGGTGGATTTCTAGATCTCCATGCCCACTGGATAAGATAGCCAGATTTCAGCAGTTCCCACTTAGGTTTCAGAAGAAAGGGCACAGTAAAAACCACAAAAACCTGATAATAAAACTTTATTTTGGTACTTACTACTACAGACGTCTGAAATACAGTTATGAAATACTTAACAAAAGAGACATATTTTATAAAGAAGCAATGCAAATAAAAACAGTGTAACGTCCCTGCCTGAAGTGAATCACTTCAGGTGCAGTGAAGATCTAATCACCTACTCTAGAAACTACCACTCACAAGAACTTCTTTAAAAAAAAMMCCCAAAACTATGCCTGGGATGGGATCCCTAAGCAGTAAAGCATTACTTTTGTAGGCAAAAACGTAATATGACCAGATATGCAATTTCTAAAGAATATCGAGTTTAAAGTTAAGTTTTAAGTTTTCAAAACTAACTAGCTTGGATGTTTTGATGCAAGGGATAGAGGAGCAGGAAATCTAACTATTGCTGCTTAGCTGAGGGATAAAGAAAAACTCTTGTGGTTCATTAGGAACAAAAGATAGCAAAAAATGTTCCCACAATTAATGAAACTAACTCAAGAGGACAAGACTTCAACACTACTAAATGTCTAAGAAAACTTCCAAATGGTGTTAACTGAAGAGCACATTGATGAAGTGGAGGGAATGACAGTTACACAGAGATTGGGGATTTCTGTAATGTTTGATTTTTGCCAGCAAAGTCGACACATGACATTGGAATTACGCTGGTATGAGTTGTCTCCTGCTCTTCTTTATCCCACTGCTGTCGCCTGCACCTGGAACAGCAGTATTCATTTTAAATTCTTGTTGACATTTAATGCAGTTGTGCCTGGTTTCTGTTAACTGAGAATGAATGGGACAAATATTTGTGCTTTTGGTGTACATTAACTTTAAAACTCTTCTTGTTTCTTTTGTTTTGCTCTTCGTGACTTTGAGTTTTGAGTTGCTCCCTTTAGATTTCTTACTGATCCTTACGTTTTTCTAGAATTTCTGCTCCACCTTTGAAATGGACAAGCAGAAGATACGTGGTTCAAGCGGAGGTTTTCTGGATTAGACAGGTACGAAGGTAATTTGGGGCTGTCAATGCTGGCAACGTGGTACTCACTGGAAACAGGGACATGTTCAGTGGTAAAGATGAACATGAAGTCAAGCCGTGGATCCCTGCGCTTGCCTCCTATGTTCCCAGGGCTAACTGGTGTGTTACCAGCCTCAGAAGAGCAACAGCCTGAGAGTCATTAGCACATTGAAGGCGATGCTTTTGGTCAGCAGGACTCTCAAACCCAACACAGTCATGAAGAGCATGTTCCMTTTCTCCATTGTGGCACCTGGTTTGAAAAAGAAGGAAAAGAGAGAAGAGACTGTGGCCTTGGTATGAGCAGAAAAAGCAAAATCGCAGGTTGTAGGCAGATGAGGGAAGTAGGGGCAAAGGGAAAAAATAATAGAGGAATGTGGCCAGTGCAGAGTACAGAGGAGATAACTGACTGGTGAGGATTTCATCTTCCATTTTATCTTCCATTATCTTTCCATGAGTTTATCTCATGGAAAGCTGCCATCTATTTAACCACTCAACCTGAAACAGCAGGTAAGTATTTGCAACTTGGACACTTTGGCACCAAAAAAAAGACACTTTCTTGCACTGAACTGAATCCCCAGTGAAGTAGCTTAACTCCAGTATTTGTTTCAGTAACTAACCTTTTGCAGAGATGTCTATAACGTTGCAAGCATTGACTGTTAGCAGTTCTTCAGCTCTCTTTTCTGTAGCATGGTTAAAAAAAATACTATAAAACACATATCTAAGGTATATAAAACAAGAAGTGCACAAAGTCTATTTATAACCCTCTTCCCCAGCAATGGATRAGCAGAATTGGAGTTTAATTTGAAAGGAAACTTAGCTTCCTGCCTGCAATTATAGTGAAAAGCAAGAAAACAATGAGACTACTGAATTTTCTCAACCTTTTAAAATGATCTTTACCACAGAAAAATTTCTCTATTAAAAGTGAGTAAAAAATAATGCCCCATAGATGTTTTTTGGGGGGCGGACTAGAAATCATATTTGCTTTTTCATTTTTGTTTTCATGAAACCTATTTCATGCTTTCTTCATGCAGATACATATACTTCTGTGCCTGGAAATATTTTGCTTTACATAAGGCTAGACTCWCAAGTACTGGATAAGGAAAGGTTCAAGAAAGCTCCCAGTGTGCTAGGTGCCTTTTAATATATCTTAGCACCATCTRATTAGGAACCTATATATTTTGCTGATTATTGTACTTCTTACTGCTACATGCTCCAAGTGAACTCTTCCTAGCATGAGCAAGAAAACATATTGTAGGATGCATTTCCCAGAAACAGCTTGTTTTTGGACTACAGCACTGTACCTGGAAGGGTTGTGCTGGCTGCAATATTGTTCCCCTCATGCAGAGCCTTGCAGGTCACCTCTGTATCTGGTTCCACCACAACTATCTCCATCAGAGTGTATGTCCCCTCTGACGTGACAAGAGGTTCCTTCGGGCCATAGACAGTGTCACCCTTGGGCACATCAAGGCTGATGTTCTTAGAGTAGAAATTCCTTGCCAAACAAGCCACATTCACTTTATTACTGTACTCGCTGCTTTTCCTTGATTTAAGTGCAATGACTTCCAGGGCAGACTCTTCTTGATTCTCTGGAAAAGAAGCATCATCAGGGGATGACTTTGCTCTTTTCTGAGAGTCAAACCACCTACAGATCAGAGACAGYCAGTGAGGACTCCCTGAGGGTTTGGCTGCTGGGAATCAAGGCTCAGCACCGGCTGGCAAGGCCCCTCCATGCCAGCTGTGGGATCCCCCCGGGATCTCCCCCTTCGGAGCAGATGCAACATAGTGACTATTAATAGATGTTTTCTCCGTCTTTTATGTTTCTGAAATCCCCAGAGATTCAAGAAATAAGGTATGTGACTTCTCAGCTGCTTTAAATACTACTGAGCATATTCCATTTCTATATATAGAAACAGCACCAAAAGGGATAGGATATGATATAGTTATAAGCTAGGCTAAGATGCTGTCTTGACTGGGCATAAAAAACATAGTGTTAAATTTTGTAGTGCCMGATCTGTGGAATAATGACAATGGGAACCAGAAAACTAGCCCYGCTCTTCTGTGAAACTTTGTTAAATAGATAATGAGCTGAGAACTAAAAATGAGAACTATCGGAGTGGGCATGCTCAGGAGAGGCCAAGAAGGTGAAAAAGATCTCATTGTGCTGCCAAATCACACAACCCCTTTGCACCACCTCTATCCCCAACTTCCAGTACATTTTTAGGAGTAAAAGAAGTAGAACTTACTTGGCTCAACAGAGATAGTGATTCCACTTCCAAACACCAGCTTGTCTGTTGCCACTCCGAGCTCTCAACACCGTGTTCTACCTTCTTACAAAAAGTGCCTCTTCCTTCCCTCTTACCACACACTGTTCAGATGACACAGGCAGTCCACGTCCAATAAAACGCAGGAAGAAAACGGGTAGACTTTCAAACAAAGGCTGGGCAAAACATGGAGATTTCATCCCCTGGGAACTTGCAGAATTGTAGTGTAACTCTGGGAGGGCTTATGGGTTTTACCCTTTTCGAAAGTCAGAAGTTGTTCGGTGTTTGAATGTTATCCTAAAGCAATAGCAAAGCTCTTTGTGCTATAAAGAGATCTGAGAATGGCAAAATGACCCAAGAGGCAGAGCAGCCTTTCCTGGAGACATTGGTTATCTGGCCCTTTGAGGGCCTAGAGCTCTAAAGCTTTCTTGCAGTGGACACTCTGCCACCCCCATCTCCCTTATCTATAGTGCCTTTAGTCCATACTTCAAAATGAATGCATTCAGTTACGTTTCCTATGACAGTGAATAGAGTTGGTGTTCTCCAAGTCAGAAGCTTAGAAAATGCTCTGTGAAATGGTCTTTGAGGGGGAAATGAATGGGAAGAAACCGCAGCTTTTGAGGCCAAAGACAAAGGCATCATCAGCCAAAAGTCCTGGGTCGTGGAGGAGAATGCTGACCGTATGACTGAAGAAGAAAATTATGATTGGTCTCTAAGGTCTTTGAGCTCGAGAAGAAAGAGCTATAGAAAAGAGAGGCGGGCAGGATAACTGTGAAAGAGGATGGAGACAGTGGATAGAGGGGTGCTGAGATGAAGGGAGAAGAGCTGCCGTTTCAATGGCAGAGTGTAGGTAATGGTCTGTGTAGTTGGTAGGGGAAAATTGGAGCTGCCTTTCAACCATGTGGTGTGGTGCTCTTCTTACTCTTCTAGCTTTGTGGTAGTCAAGTGAATATTGTGGAGAGAGGAAAGCAATGCCCCAAGTGTAATGGAATGAGCTACTTTATCTGTCTAAAACAGCTTGGGAAGAGATGAATTTCTTCTTAGAAGCACCTGTTTCTTTCTAACAGATTCAAAGGGGACAATGAGTAGCTCAGATGGAAACGACAAGAAAAACCCCACTGGCTGAACTTGAGTGGACAATTGGGCCTTCTAAATCAAATAGTTCATAAGATGACACAATATCTGCATTTACGTGCAAGAAAACTAGCCTGGCATAGTTAAATTGTCCTATTGCTTGAACCATGCTCAGTGTCAAATCTGTTCCTGAGACTGCAGTTTTCCATGGGAGGAAGAAGCTGTGAAGAAGTAGATCATGCTGCACCTTTGACTTTTCAAGGAGTCCGTTTGTGTATGGTGGTCTAGTTCCTTTCCACCACTGTGATTCCTACTCCACACAGTGATCAACAGTTATACAAAAACTGTTGTGTCTRTATTTCAGTGCCAGGTGACACCCCTCTTTCCTGTCTTTGGATTTTGTCTTCCTCTTTTTCTCTGCTCTGTAACCACAGAATAAGCAAACCACAAAGAAGCTAGGAGAAACTGTAAATAGCATGGCTTCTCTAGTAGATGATGTAATAATACTGTTATCTTGTTAAAAATGGTCCATAAATCGTAACAGTGAATGTGGATAAGTTTTCATTATCAGAGCCCTTTTTTACTCCAAGGACTGGATTCCAAATTTATTCTTAATAAACTTGCAGAGAATTGAGTTGTTTATCTGTTTTGTTGGTTTTTTTTTTTTTTTTGATTATTTTATTTGTTTATTTTAACAATATCTGGGTATCAGATGTCCCCCAACCAAAAACCTCCACTGGTCCTTAAGACATTCTGAAGAGCTGCCCCTGTTGTGATGGGTACCGTCCAGTCCATGGGGCAGATGGATGTCTGGATGGCYGAGGTTCCTTTCTTTGACTGGGTTACTGAGGCTCCCTGCTCCTGCTCCTCCGTGCTCCTTTGTGTTTGTGCAGGCAATCATTTTTTTGTGAAATAGCCTAACACAAATTCATAGTCTACCACGATCACCTGGCAGCCTGTAGAAATAACTTGTTCACTGTGTATATGAGCAGGTCTTAATTTCCTATATGTGCTGTAAGCTTTCATGCTAGAACTTACAGATACATTTGCAAGTGCATTAAAGGCGGTGCAGAATGTAGAAGAAGCCCTTTTACAGCTTAACTACACGACTCAGTTCTTCTTCTCTGTTGTAATTATGGTATATGATTGGTTGCTTTTCTGCAAATATAGAAGGGCAGGTGCTGTTGTAGTTTGGGCTAGTACAGGTTAAATGCACACATTACCTGCTACACAATAATTGGATCCTTGCAAGGAAGTTTGAATATTTATTGTGTCTGTGAAATAATGATTAATATTGTAAATACCACTACCAAGTTACAGGAAAACATTGYTTCTGCTTCCCTTTTCCTTTCATACAGGAGTTGTAGTCTGTTACAGCAGGATGTTAAACATGGTGATCCTGACTATGAAAATGTGGTCCAGGTGTCCTCCATGAAGACTATGACATCGTTGAAGACCTTCATGGTCAAGTGTCCCCAAAGGGAGAGTCTTTCTACCCCACCTTCGGACTGAGCTGAATGATTTTTTAAGGTGAACGATTTTTATATAGCCTCTGCCAGATTATTTAACCTTTGCTGGCCAGTGTATCAGCTTGAGCTCTTRCTCATTGACTGGTGCAGCAATTCGCCAGGCAAATACACTTGTGTTAAGTTTAATTCTGCTATTTCTGTCAGTTATGTGCTTTGGGATTTTTTGTTTTGCTTTCTTTGGATAACACCTGTCTAATTGTGCTTTATCTAACATGAATTACACCCCTAACAACTATATATAAATATATCATAATAGCAGACATAGAGAGGTCCTTGCACATTCTCCAAGGTTTCCAAGGAGTAAATTGTATCCCCTCTATACAGGTAGAACGTGTGCCTCTCCTGTTTGCTACGCTGAAGCCTGTGAGCCCCGGTGCAATTCATGACTGATCCCGGAGATAGGATCCATGTTAGCAATACAGACAAGAGGAGAAGATTTGCAGAGGTTCTTCTGTTGAAAAAATGCCATTGTCTGAAGTTGGAAAAGGATGCCTGTTAACATAAGGCCAGCAAGTGAGGTAGGGAAAGAAGACCTGTGCCTGGRACAGGATAATCCTGAGCAGTAATACAGGCTGGACTGACTGGCTGGGCAATAGGTCTCCCATAAGCAGCTCACGGGTCCTGATGGACAGTGAGTCGAACATGAGTCACTAGTGTGTTTTTGCAGCATTAACAGCAGATTCCTGGGCTGCATCCRTGAGGACACGGGCTTCACTGATAAAAAGATGTAATTAATCTACTTTACTTAGCACTGTTTCAGTCATGCCTGCAATACTCTACTTTTGCTCCCCCCGTTCAAGAGACAGTGAGAAACTGGAGCAAATCCAGTGATTGGCCACTAAGATGCCCTGAGTGTTAGAGAATTTGATGTTGGAGGAGTTGACTTTGTTCAGCCTAGGAAAGACAAGGCTGGAGGGGTCTTACTCACTACCTAAAAGGAGTGGTCCTACAGGCACTCTCTTCACAGTGATGCCTAGAGACAGGTCAAGAGTCACCTGGCACAAATTGCTGCAGGGCAAATTCCATTCAGATATTAAAAAAAAAAAAAAAAAAAAAAAAAAAGTATTTACCATAAGAGTAATTGAACACTGAAATTCATTGCCCAGAGATGTACTAAAATGTCCCTTGTGGAAACACTCAAGACTCTGCTTGACAAGGCCTTGATAACCTAATCTAAGGCCCTGCTTCCAGCAAAAGTTTGGACCAGACAGTCTCCAGGAGTCTCTCCCTAGAGTAAGGACCACTGTGGAAGCCCTGGCGAGGAGTCAGTAATTGGCAGAATACATGGTAGCAGGCCCAGTGTGTGAAACACACACTGACCAAATTCCCATCAGGACTAGACATGAAGCGAAGGAGGCAAGTTGCTTCCTGAGCAGTAGCTGAGATGAGGAAATAGTTCTAGCAGACTTAAGGCGCCCTCATGAACCACTAATCAAAACCTACTGATGCGTCTGACCTTGTACCTTCTTCAGCCTCCCACCAATGACCACAATTGCTGCCCATTCAGCTGCCTCTGGATTGACTGGGAGCTGACATCTTTTAGTCCCAAAACTGCTATTCACTCGAGTGTGTACAGGTGGTCGTCATGCTGAAAAAGGGCCCTGCCACCACAGCAACCCTCCCACTATTTGTGCAGTCCTTCCTTCCACTGGTGCTGTAGTGTGCTGCCTGGCACAGAAGTAGGTCGCTGCATCTGTGGCTGTCAGGGCATGCAGCTGGAGGGAGACCTTCTTTCTGACTTTATCTGCCGTGATAGTGACTCGGCCTTGGAAGCCTGGGGAGTAGCCTGTGTTATTCCCAAAGGGATAGATCCAGCCAAGAACCTGTAGTTCTCCTCCTGCAGTCTGACGGACGTAATTCCAGTCATAGTAACGGGTATCCAGAGGTGCTCCTGTTATAGTGCAGCTAAGGGGGAGCAATTCAGAGACCTTCCTCTCCGTGGGACCAGATGCCATCATCTTTATATCACAAAGGGCACCTGGAAAGACACGTAAGGTTGCAGGGGACGTGGCTGCTCCTGAGTGCAGCATTCAGGCTGTACAGGGCCAGAGACCTTCAGCTTCCRAAGTGGTCCCTGGGAGTATTAGCATCCCAGGCTCCATAGCCACAAAGGATGCTAAGGCAGGAGACGTGCTAGAGTCTAAGCGACTCATGTTATATTTTAAAACCTGAATTCAGAGGCTTGGCAGGAGAAGCATATGAAGTGGCCAACTCCTTTTAGTYCTCCTGTTGCCTCCAAAAGCTGCCCCTGGACCTGTTCTCCTCACACAGAGAGCAAAAGGAGCAGGCTGGGCACAGGGACCTAGGAAAGTGGTGTGCCTGTTGTGCATGAGCTCAAGAGGAAAAGGGGCATTAGACTGCCTCATTGGGTAGAACATTTCCTCCTTACCTGGGGCAAGAGGAACTTAAAGGAAGGCAGAGAGGAGCCAAGACCAGCTGGGCTGGGCTCTGCCATATATGACCTTGGCTGACAATGGCTGCTGCTGTAGGCAGGCTTTTGCCTGGGCTCATGAGGATGGATGTGAGAAGCCAATTGCCATCCTATTGCTGTCTTTTCTCTGTTTTTCTCCTCACTTGAGATTACTTCCTATCACTGACAGCCTGTTGGTTCTGCTGGGGAAAAGCTTTTGGTGCAGGGGGACAGAACTCCATTCTCTTCTCTCTCCTTGTGGGAARGCAAAGCTCCAAAGCAGCCCCTGATCCCTCCCTGTTCCACATCCTTTTTCTCCCCCCAGGCTGTGTACCCTAGTATGTGGATAAGTGGGATGAGGCAGAGTAGGAAGACATGGGGTGGGCAGCACAGCTGAGGGATGGAAATAACTGGGCACAGTTCACTGTGAGAACTGAAGTTCACTAAAGAGTGCCCAGCTCTTCGTGGTAGTTAGGAGCAGAGATACAGTAGGATAGTGTCACGTATCTGTCCTCTTCTTAATCCTCCAACCTCCACACATCCTGGACAGCAGGACAAGTCCTGGATTAAATCAGGAAGGTACAGGTCCCAGACAGAAGATAAACCCTTGGGAGGGAGTACACAAAACCCATGCAGAAAGGCTAAGACCACCCACGGCAATGTCCTCTTCCTGGGAAAGGATGGACTCTCACCTTTGGGGGCTGCAGTAAACATGAAGACCAGCAGACAGAAGAGCATCACAGGCTTCTCCAGAGGAACTTGCATGGCGCAGGGTTGAGGCGTGGGGGAGAGGGAAATCATGGGGCTGAAGGGAGCTCCAAATATTCTCACTTGCAGTCAGCAGAAGAGTGTAGAGGAACCTTTTCTGAGCAATCCTTTGGAAGCAAGTACTACATGCAGTGGGGAGATGGGCCCACATGTCACTGCTGGCCTGGGTGGGGAGGCCTCATTTCCTTTTGAGGAAACCACATTTCCTTTTGAGCAACACTTCACCTGCACAGGAAGCACAGGGACCTCTCTTGTCTTCCCAGGGTCACCAGTACCAGGACTCCAAACCTTCTCTCCRTGAGCTGTGGCCTGACATGGCCAGGAGGGTACAAGGTATGGACAGAGGAGTTGGGAGAGAGTCACAGAGTCTCCCTGGATGCTTTCATGTCCCTTGACAGCCATCAGTATTTCGGGTGTCTTCCTGCCTGTTCTGTTTCTGGGATAACAGAAGCGTTTCTGAACCCTTCTGTGGAATTTGTAACCTTCCCCTGCACCACGGGGCTTTCAGTCCAGAACTCAGATCTGAGGTCTTGGTGGGCCACTACGTAGCCACATGGCACTAAATCAGGCCATGAGGAGATCTGAGAGCTGTGCAAGTCCAGGGGCCGAGGCAGGACTGCCAACAGAGTCAATGAGGGGGCTTCGCTGGAGATACAAGAGCTGAAAATAACATGGGGTAGGCTGAGAAGAGTGACATGCCGCATCAAGGGCAATGGCAATCAACGCTCCCCCGTGGTATTGCTAAACTGCAGTTCACCGTAAGGTGAAAAGAGTGGCCCTGAGAACCAAGGCAGATCCATTCCCAGCAGSCATTTATAAGCATTAACTAATGAACAGTCACTGTGTCCTCTGCCCTCATACCCATGGTTCTTGCAGTCCTCACCCAAACAGAATGGTAGAATCACAAAATCCTTAAAAATCCTTAAGGTTGGAAGAGACCTTTAGAGATCATCTAGTCCAACCCCCCCTGTCTCCATGGCCCCTACTTTGCCTTTGTCTGCCCCAGACGATGGTTGTTTGCCCTAGTCTGAATTCCTTCATACAATCATAGAATGCTTAAGGTTGGAAGGGACCTCAGAGGTCATCTAGTCCAACTCCCCCCTGCTCACGCAGGGTCACCTAGAGCACGGGGCACAGGGCTGCGTCCAAGCGGGTTTTAAACATCTCCAGAGAAGGAGACTCTATAACCTCTCTGGGCAACCTGTGCCAGKGCTCTGGCACCCTCACAGTCAAGAAATGTTTCCYTAAGTTCCTGTGGAACTTTTGGTGCCTCAGCTTGTGGCTACTTCCTCTAGTCCTATCGCTGGCCACCACTAGAAAAGAGGCCGGCCCCTYCTCCTCACTGCCGGCCTCCTCCTCCTCATCAGGTCCCCC